ACGGCGGGCCGCGAAGTTTGGGGGTTCGGCCTGAGGGCGGGGAACCTGCGTCCGGGTCCACAGCCCTGGGTCCTGGGTTTAGTGGACTGGGACACTGCAAGGAACATGTTCACCGTCCCACACGGCCGAGGCCTGCGCAGGTGGGGGGCGCTGGTCTGCCAGGGAAGCCCCCAACACCAGGGAGAGGCTGCCTGGACCTGAGACCCCAGATTCGAGGCCCTCATCCCACCTTCTGCCCCTGTCCTTTGGGCCTCCTCTTCGCTCGACCTCCTGTCCTGGGTTACGGTTCTGCCCTGTCTCTGCCCCCATCTGCCATTCCCTTGCAGCCCCCTGGCGTGGCTCACACCCCTTTCCATTCGCTGCAGTTTCTGGGGGGCCAGGCACAGATCTCTAGGCTAGGGGTGTATGGAGATAGCATTTGCCGGTTCAGAGTAGTCTTCCATCCCCTGTGGCTCTTCAGCCCCTCAGCTCTGACTTAGCCCTTTGGCTGTGGTGGAGGAGGTCTGCTACTCAGGCCAGCCTAACCCTCATGCCTCCCTGGCCAGGAGAGGGAGGTGCTCGCCTCCTCACTCCCCTATCCCAGGTCCGCCATCTTGAGACCTGTAGCACCCAATGCCCCACCCGGCCCCCTAGCACCCTGGGAAGTATGCTTCAAGGGGATGCACCCAGGGCTACTTGCATCCCTTCTACCCAAAATGTGGGTCTCTGGACCCCCACTAAGCCCAGGATGACCACGTTCGTGGTAGACCAACAGGACATATGTCCCCAGCGCTGCCTTTCCCCTACAAAGCTTTCAGACTCTACGGACTCCTCAAGGAGATTAAACCTCAGTTCTAGCCCTCACTCTTCCCTGGGGTCACCCTCTTTGCCCCACAGCCAATGCCTGGGACCCTATCCTTTCCCCATCTGAAGGTTCCCGACTCCTCTAGGCCCCACCCCTCATCCTTCAGGGCACCCCCATCCCAGCCCCCACCCCCCAGCCTTCATCAGCATGCAGGCTCAGGCTGCCCAAACACAAGGGGATTGTTCTCGTTGCATGCTCAGGGTGGGGGGCTGGGAACAGGCGGCCTACACACCCTGGCGGGCCCAGGCCACAGGAAGGCCAGCTTGCCGCGCCCTATGTCCCCAGACAAGCTTTGTCCACCCTCCCTACACCCATCACTGCTTCCCCCTGCCCCCAGCCTCCATCACCATTGCCCAATGGCACTGACTTGAGGAAAAGGCTCTGAGGTGGACAGGTGGACCGCTGGGTTTTCCCGGCTCTGCCAGTTGCTTCCCATGTGGCCTTACAAACGTGCCCCTTTCCTTCTCGGCCTCAGTTTCTCCTCTTGTTCTGTGAGGCCCTTCCGGCTGTGACAAGCTGAGCCTGATGCGGTGAGACCTATGCTGCTCCCCAGGTCATTCAGCCCCCCTCTCCATGAGGTGGCCCACTGTGGGGCCCCAGAAGTCTCAAAGCACATCCTAAATCCCCCACCCCAGCAACATGCCCTGGGAGCCCTTAGACCCAGAGAAACAGGAGCAGAAGTTGGGAATGCTGAGGAAGAAACCAGAATTCTGTCCAGGCAGGTCCTGGCTCAGCCCATGTGGCTGATGTCAAGACATGGGTCTTCTCACCCCACCCTCACTTCTCCTTTGGGACCCCCCCCCAGTTCCATCTTTGGTCCCTAATGCCCTGAGGCCCTGTGATCTCTCTCTCCTCCCTGCTCACTGAGCCAGCTTCTGTTTCAAATTTCCTGTCCTCTGGAGCTCTCCGTATAGTAGGAAAGATGGCCTCAGAAATGCCCACTCAAGACTTCTTTGATTTACAGGCATATCTTTGAGGAGCACAGAGGCCCAAGTGATGATATCTGATTTGGAAGGCTGGGGAGGACCCCTAGAAGGAGGCTGATAGGTTGGAAGAGGTGGCATTCAAGAATTTCGACAGGCTGAGACTGGGGAAGATGGGCATTTTGAGCTGGGAACAGAGACCTGGAGGTGCTGGGCATGTTCTGTAGCCTGGTGTGTGTGGAGGATGGAGTGGAGATGAAACAAGAGAAATTGGCAGGAGCCAGATCATGAAGGTCCTTCAGTGCCCATCTGTGGTGATTGGGCTTTATCCCTTGGGCACCAGGGAGCTATGGATGGTTGCTGAGCAGCAGAATGACCCAGTCTCTAGCATAGAGAATGGGAACCAGAGACCTTTCTCAACTTGGGTGAGACAAAGGATTGGTACCGGTGGGTGGGACTACTCCACAAAGCTGTGGCCTTTTTCCCAGAGCCCAATTTCAGCCTGGGCCTGCCTCAATTTCCCTTGGAGACAGGGGACTGTTGGGAGGTTGGCTAATGATTCTCTAAGGAGGCTGTAGTGTTTCTGGCACCCGTCAGCTTGCCAGGGCGCCTCCTCCTTGTTGGGCGTTAGGTCTATGAGACAGACCTGGGTCAAGAAACCAGAGGCTGGAGCTCCTGGACCCCAGGCTGCTCCCCTAAAGTCCTCTTCTCCCCCAGGAACTGAGTATGACAGGCCATCCTCGGAGGCTGGAAGGGTGGGAGGCTGGATGCCTGGGTCTGAGGATGCTGAGGCAGTTCTTGTGGAGGCCCAGCTAGTCAGGAAGTGTGAGCATCTCCAGCGGAGGGGCTGGCCGGGGGGCCAGGAGCCCTACATGCCGGCCTCCTCCCAGGCCTGGTGTCCACCCCCTGCCACACCCTGCCTCTCCTGGTGCCTTGAGCCATTCCCAGCATCACTGGGTGTGGCCAGCATGGCTGCTTTTGAGGTGGGAATAGCAGAAGGAGGCTGATTGGTTGGGAACTGGGGCTGCTGAGGGGGATGTTGGGGAACGTAAGGTGGGCGATGAAGCTGGAGACTGGATCCCCCTCTCTTCCCAGTCCAGGTGGGTCCATAGGCCCTGGCTGGTCCAGACGCTGTGGCCAGCAGAGCCGAGGGAATCCCCCAAGGGGCGGGCCAGTCCACTGGAGTGCCTGGCCCCGGGAGCCCTCCCCTCCCCCGGATTGTTCTTGCTCCAGAACAAAGCCAGGGTGGACACTTGATCCCCGCGTGGGGAGGGGCTGGCTAAGCCCCTGGCCCTTTGATTGGGCAGCTGTCATGGGAGAGAGACAGCTGGGGGGAAGGGGCAGGGAGGGGGCAGCCACCATCGCTTACACAGCTGTCACCTGCCACCCCCCCACCCCCTCCAGCCTGAATGGCAGGAAGCCAGGGACAGGAGGAGTGGGCACTGGGTCTGCGGAGGGGGCCTGGGGAGCACGAGGGTATGCCCCAGGTCAGGGGCTGCTCTGAGCTTGGTGTGTCCTGCCAGGGAGCTCTGCTGGCCATAGGGGGCTGGGCACCCCCAGAGGTGAGCTGGAGGTCAGCGTGGCATGATGCGTGGCCCCCAGTAGGGACCCAGGACCCACCAGGGTGAAGCAGCAAATAACTCCCAGAGCCCTGGTGAGGGTGTGTGTGGGGGGGGGACAGTAATGTCTAATAGGGTTGCTTGTTCTTAAGATAATAATTTGGGGGACATGGGTCAGGACCCCTCATTCTCTCCCAAAGACTGGAAAGACCTTGAGGGTCCCTCAGACCAGGAAGGACACGAAGGGACCAGCAATCCCCTTAATCCTAACGTGTACAGATGAATACACTGAGGTCCAGGTCAGGTGAAGGCCCAGCCAAGGTCATGCGTTGATTCCGGGCTCCCGGGGCTCTGCTGTGGACGCAGGTGTCTTTTTCAGGGCAGGCGCCCAGTGCCGGCCACGTCCCAGCCCTCCTCTCCTGTTTTCCTGGAGCCTCACACCCACAAAAAGTGACGCAGAGATGATATAGGAACAATGTCATATCTACTACTGGCCACCACCCCAAGGAGCCCCTGAACCCCCCAAAATTCCGGGGCTTAAGACCTACGGCTCTAGACAAGTTGTCAGCCCTCTCCAAAGCCTGGTGCCTGGCTTTGGAGAGCCCAGCATCTGGGAAGAGGACTGACAGACTCAGACAAGGGCAGCCCGAGTGGGGAGGCAGACCCGTCTGCGGCAAGACCCCTGGGTTCACCATGCCACACCTCTCTGTGTGACCTTGGTAGATTACTGACCCTTTCCAGGCCTCAGGTTCTCCTGGCACTGAATTTGTCCCTTGGGTTAACGAGTATGTCCTGAGCACCTTTTCTGGCCTGACTAGGCTAAGCCTGGGGGACTCAAGAAGCAGGCAGCAGCCTTGGATCCTGCACTAAGGGGCGCTGGGGCTCGGCTGGCCAGAGAGATAGAGACCAAACACGTCATGCTTTGGTGGGGGAAGTGCAGGCAGTTGGCGGAATGTCTAGCAAGGGCAGCCAGCATGAGGCCGGCCAGGATGCTCACAGAGCGGTCCCTGCACCTACTGCTGACCTCTGACCTCTGGAGAGCCTGTGGGCAGATCTTGAATGGACACAGGTGCCAGGTGCCTGGGGAGGCAACAGTCGGTGCTCGGGGTGGGGGAACAGGGTTGTCGCCCCCATTGTACAGATGAGGAATTGCAGGTCTCTTGCCATACTGTAGCTTGCTTAGGCTTTCTGGGAAAGAGCCAGGCTGGGAGTTGGCCTTCCCATTCCATGTCCAGCTCTGGCTGGCAAGGGAGGTTCGGGAGAGGAACTGGACAGAGCTCCATGCCCTTGACCCTCAGGTCAGGATGGAGCGAGGGCTCAGGAGGAAGGCACCCAGAGGCCTCTGGAGTACTCAAAGCCCAGCATACTTGTCCTTGGCCCCCACACCCTCACGGGCAGAAGGAATTTGCGGGGCTAGGGCTTGGCCGTAGCCCAGATTTGGCACCAGTTGGTCCCACTCCTGTTCTCAGGTCCTGGTCCCCCAGCGCGCTCCCCATCAAGGCTGAGCCTTGGCAGGCAGGAGATAGCCGCTGGAGGAGAGATTTCCAAGCAGGATTAAGGTTTAGGATTAAGTCGGGGCATGAAAAGGGGTCGGTGGGGAGGGCTGGCGGCTGGGCTAATCCCAACAGCTAATCTCTGGCTTTGCCTTCCCCTACCCAGTTAACAGCCTTGACATTCCTACAGCCCCCCACATCCCTTTCTTACCCATCACCCATCTCCCAGTACCGGGGGGAGGTATTCCCTCCATCTGATGAGTGAGGAAATTGAGACTCAGAGAGCCCAAGTGACCTGTTTCTGGTGCAGCAGAAAGTGCTTCAGGCTGGGAAGGTGGCCAGCCTGCACTGCCTTCACCTCCTGTTCTGGGCCATTCTCTCACACAGGAGAGGGCTTGGAAATTCACTTTGCCGACTGCTGCTCCACTGACACCCCACCCCCTCAGTGCTGAATGAAACCTGTCTGAGCTGTGTACGAGGAGCCTCTGCTCAAGTGACCTCAGGTGGACGAAGGTTGTCTCTGGAGGTGGGGCTCCCAGGCCCCCAAGCCTTTCCTGGCAGGGGTGAGAGGGTACCTCTTACAGCCTCACCACCTTCATTGCCACCCTTCCTTCAAGACCTTCTGTGGAATCGGCATGGCTGCCCCAGCCTCCTCTCTAGCTGTTCTCCAGGCTCTAGCCAGTTGCGGGGCTCTGGCCCCTGGACCCAAGTGCCTCTTGTTTGGAATAAACTTTACTCAACCATCAACGCCCGATCCACAGGGGGCGTCTCTTCCAAGAGGTTAGGGAGTCCCCCCCTTTCTGGACTCCCGCAGGTCTCTTAGTTAATCCTGTTGTGTGAGGGGAAGGAAGAAGATCCTGCGAGAAACTAGGTGGCTGCCGTGTTAGTGCTTGTCGCATTTTATTCTCATACCTCACTGGGGATAGTAGATGGTATCCCCCTCCTACAGATAGGGAAGCTGAGGCTCAGAAGGGCTAAGTGACACCAGGGTCACACAGCTAGTGAGTCACACACAAGCACATTGATCGGTGGGATGTTTGGAACTCAGGGTCCATGCTGTCTCTTCTCTGGGAGTTTGGTTAGCCCGGGTCTGGGGACCCCAGGTAAAAGTCGCAGAGACAGGGTAAGCTGGGCTTTCCTCCAACCCATCGTCCTCTGCCCCCTTCCTCAGAGCGGGCCAGGCCACAGCGTGGACGCACTCCCAGACCTCTGCGGCCCCAGCCCCGCCTAAGAGGATGAGCGGCTCGGATGCGGGGCTGGAGGAGGAGCCAGAGCTCAGCATCACCCTCACGCTGCGGATGCTGATGCATGGGAAGGTGAGCGCGCGCCCGCGCGTGCGTGCGTGCGTGTGTGTTGGGGGTGGGGGGGACGCTGCCGTGGGCGGGGGACGGCAGAGCAGGCAAGGCAGCAAGGCGAGGCAGGGCCAGCCCTAATTTGACCTCTGGCGTCCTGTGCCCGGTGGGGCCACTGCCCCGGATGCGGGGAGGGCAGAGCCTGGGTCGTTGGTCCCCTCTGACTTCACTCTTGTCTTGTCTGCAGGAAGTGGGCAGCATAATCGGGAAGGTAGGTGCCAGCTCTGCTCTCTGCGTCCCCCGCCCCCCAACCTGAGGCTTCAGCCCAGGGAAGAAGGTGCCGACTGCTCGGGCTAAGAGCGATTCTCTCTTGTCTCCCGCAGAAGGGAGAGACCGTGAAACGAATCCGGGAGCAGGTGAGGACGGAGTTTGGGGGAGGAGCCCAGGGCACCAGGTGTGAAGGGGAGGGGAGATCCCTGCCCCACCTCCTCCCCAGTTCTCCCCGCCTCCGCACTACTTCCTCTGGGATGACCCAGCCCCTTGGCTGGGGATCCGCTAGCTGGGCGGGCAGACAGGTTCCTGGCGAGGGAGCGGAGAGGGTGCCGTCGCTGCCCGGCGCTCGTCCTGTACCTGCAGAGCAGCGCCCGGATCACCATCTCCGAGGGCTCCTGCCCCGAGCGCATCACCACTATCACGGGTTCTACAGCGGCTGTCTTCCATGCGGTGTCTATGATCGCCTTCAAGCTAGATGAGGTTCGGTGGCCAGCCCGGTGGGAGGCGGGGAGCGGTTCCCTGGGAGGAACTCGACCTCTCCTCCAGATACTGGCTACGGGCTAGAGGGGCGGCGCAGCAGAGGGGCAGGGGAGCAGAAAGGTGCTCTAGGGTCAAGGGGTGCTTCGTGAATTTGACTCACTGTCTTCCTGCCCCAGGACCTTTGCGCTGCCCCGGCAAACGGTGGGAACATATCCAGGCCTCCTGTGACCCTGCGCCTTGTCATCCCTGCCAGCCAGTGTGGCTCACTGATCGGGAAGGCTGGCACCAAGATAAAGGAGATCCGGGAGGTGAGCGGAAAGGGATACCACCCACAGGGAATCCTCATTCTCCAGCTGAGGGACGGGACCTGGGCTATGGTTTCCTGCCCCCTGGGCCTCTTGGAACCATCCCTGGTTGCGCAGTGGTCAAGTGCTTGGCTGCTAACCAAAAGGTTGGCGGTTGGAACCCACCAACTGCTTCTCTGGAGAAAGATGTGGCAGTGTGTTTTCGTAAAGATTAAAAGAACCAAACCAAAACAGAAAACACTGCCTTCTCATGGATGCTGACTCATAGCGACCCATATAGGACAGAGTAGAACTGCCCCGTAGGGTTTCCAAGGATGGACTTGAACTGCTGACCTTTTGGTTGGCAGCCAAGCTGTTAACCACTGCACTACCAGGGCTCCCTTGGTATATATAGAGCAGTTCTACTCTGTCCTACAGGGTCGCTATGAGTCGGAATCAACTTGACTGCAACAGGTTGGGTTTGGTTTTGGGGCCCCTTGGAGCGTGACCAGCCCTTGTCCAGGATGGGAACATCTAGAGTGACCTCTGTTCTCTGCCCTCAGACCACAGGCGCCCAGGTGCAGGTGGCAGGGGACCTGCTCCCCAACTCCACGGAGCGTGCTGTCACCGTGTCTGGAGTACCTGATGCCATCATCCTGTGTGTGCGCCAGATCTGCGCTGTTATCCTGGAGGTGCAGCCCTGGGACAGGGAGAGAGGGGGACGGGCTGGGCCCTGGACCACATGTGACACCAGGTGGGGGCAGGGAAGGCCCAGGAGGGGCAGGGTGGGGCTGTAGGAATTGGTTGTCAGCTCCAGGACATAGAAGTGCTTTTACCTGGGAGTCATGGGGAGGGCTTGAGGACAGAGAGCCCTTGGGGAAGTTGGTGTGGCTTGGGGGGGGTCCTGACAGAGCCTCCCCATTTGTGCCTTCCAGTCCCCACCCAAAGGAGCCACTATCCCATATCATCCAAGCCTCTCTCTAGGCACTGTCCTTCTGTCTGCTAACCAGGTGAGGGGGAACAATAGGGGAGGGGAAGGGAGCATTGCTAGATGCAGAGGAGGAGGGCTGAGGTCGGGGAGGGGATGGAAGAAGGAATTGGACCAGGGAAGGAGTGGGAGTAGAGACTCCGGCCAAGCTGCCCGATCTGTCGTACTAAGCCCTCTTTCTCTGTCCCCACAGGGCTTCTCTGTCCAGGGCCAGTATGGGGCTGTGACCCCAGCTGAGGTGAGTGACCCTCAGCCCAGGATGCCCCCTTCCTGAGCCAGGCCCCCTCTGACCTCTCACCGCTCTTCTTTGGCACAGGTCACCAAGCTCCAGCAGCTCTCAGGGCACACTGTCCCCTTTGCCTCACCCAGTGTGGTACCAGGTGAGCAGCTGTGCAGCAGGAGGCAGGGCTGGGCAGGGCCACCCAGAGGGGCTAGGCAGCCCCCCTGGAATGGATGAGGGGCTGGGGAAGGCCCAGCGCCATGCCTAATCCCTCTTCTCCCCCTCAGGACTGGATCCCAGCACGCAGACCAGCTCGCAGGAGTTCCTGGTCCCCAATGATGTGAGCAGAATGGGGCAGTGTGAGGGTAGGGAGGGGCCCCAGGGTCTGGGCTTTGCCCAGGGTTAAATTCCATCCTCCCCCCCAGCTGATAGGCTGCGTGATCGGGCGCCAGGGCAGCAAGATCAGCGAGATCCGACAGATGTCAGGGGCACATATCAAGATTGGGAACCAAGCGGAGGGCGCCGGTGAGCGGCATGTGACCATCACTGGCTCGCCCGTCTCCATCGCCCTGGCCCAGTACCTCATCACTGCCTGGTGAGCTCTGGGCGGGGTCACAGGTCACGGGGCCTCCTGGGTGGGGCGGGGAGAGCTGCCACCCTTCTGTCTGTCTGGGCCTGTCCCCTGCCTCCCCTAATCCTATCCTACCTCCCCATGGCTCTGCCTAACTCGCCCCATGTTGCCCCACCTTGCCCCTCTACGTGTCCTCTCTGGGCCGGTCTCTTGTCTCTTTTCCCTGGGACTTTGGCCTCCCAGGGATGGATTACCCCATAAGCAAGGTATGCACGGGCTTACTTGTGCTTATTTACTAATCTGTCATGCACAATTTCACCCTTTTGATGTGGTGAAATGCATGTGAAATTGTGCATGACAGATTAGTAAGTAAGTACAAGTAAGCCCGTGCATACCTTGCTTACTGGGTAATCCACCCCCTGGCCTCCCCATCTCTCCCCTCACCCCATACTACATTTGCATGCTCTTCCTTCCCATCCTCTCCCTTCCTCCTTCCCATGTTCCCCCCAAACACATCTACCCCCATGTCACTGTTCTCCCCTCAATTCCTGTCTCTGTTCCTTCCTTTAATCTCTCCCCCTATATTTGCCCTCCTTGTCATCCCTCTTACCCCCACCTTCTCCTTCATCTCCCCCCCCATGTCCCTCTCTCCAGTCTAGAGACGGCCAAGTCTACCTCTGGGGGGACGCCTGGCTCGGCCCCCGCAGACCTGCCCGCCCCCTTCTCGCCACCCCTGACGGCCCTACCCACGGCTCCCCCAGGCCTGCTGGGCACACCCTATGCCATCTCCCTCTCCAACTTCATCGGCCTCAAGCCGGTGCCCTTCTTGGCTCTGCCACCTGCCTCCCCAGGGCCACCGCCGGGCCTGGCAGCCTACACTGCCAAGATGGCAGCGGCCAACGGGAGCAAGAAAGCCGAGCGGCAGAAATTCTCCCCCTACTGAGGCCAGCTGAGGCACAGGTGGGGGCAGGCAGGACCACCAGGCAGGGGGCTGCCTCCGCACCCCGCCTGCCCAAGGAGACACCACCTGGGGGTCCCTAATGCCGCTAAAGCCCAGACGCATGGATGCACCCTCCACCCTGCCCCAGTCTGCAGGAGTTCTTTCTCTCAGTGGGGGCAGTTTCTGGCCCAGGGTTCTGGGAGCTTCAGCAGTCCCGAGGCAGGGAGCCCCAGCCCTTCAGCTCTGTGCTTGGCTGCAGGGAGCAGCCAGGGGCCTCCTTTCATGCTCCTTCCTTGGTGGGTTTCCTCCTGTACTCCCCACACCCTAGGGCTTCCCAGCCTACTGCCCCCCTGTGGGGTTCATGGAGGGGTGCTGGGGAGCCATGCTTCTCTCCCCACCTCCCTGCAGATTCCTGCTGCTTCCACTGGCACCCTTTTGACTGGAATGGACTGGCTGGGCTTGGCAGGGGGGACCCAAAGAGGAGCCACTGCCCGGTAGCTGAGGGGGTGGTGTTGGGGCGGGGGCCGAGTTCTCAGCAGCCGACACTCTGTACAGTTTTTTCAATCCCTGTTTTTGAATAAATATTCTCATGACCAGGAAGCTGTGAAACACTGTGGGGAAGGGTTTGGGGGTGGCAAAGAGAGACTGGGTGCAGCCGAGGCCCCAGAGGACTGCCATCTGTGAATCCGCCAGCCCTAGCTGGGCCTTAGCCCCTTGCACACACCAGTCCTGGGGCTTCGGGGCCCTTTGGGTTCTTGATCAGGCTTCTGGGTCTGGTACCAAACTGATCTGGCTGCTTCCTGGCCATCTTAGATGCTGATGGAGGAGTTTCAGTAGCTTTGTCCAGCTTCTCCTCTCTGCAGATTTCAGGGAAGTCCTCCGGAGTGTCTCTTCACTGGTTCCTCCTGCTGTGGCTGTCACCCAGGCCCTGCCCTGCTTGGCCCATCCCTTTGGCTGTGAGCCCCCAGGTCCCTCTTATCTTCCCTTAGCCTGGTCTGTGACCCTGCTCACCTCCTCTCCTCCCTTGGCCTGGGAAACTTCTGTGTCACAAACCACCTGAACTGGAGAGATGGTCCAAGATACAGGTGGGAAAACAGGCCTAGGAAAGGATAGGTCCATGCACAAGGCCATATAGAGTTGGGCTTAGAACCCAGAATTCCTGGCTCCCAGAAGCCTCTGGGCCTCACCAGTCTGCAGGCACATTTTCTCCTATACCAAAGTCCAGGCAGGACACGTGCCATAACCTCTGCAGGGGGCTGGGTAGGCCCCTCCGATGCTGCCCTCCTTTCTCTGGTCCCAGCTCAGCTTGGGAGAAAGATCTCTCAGGTGGCCTCTGGCATACTCAGGCTCCCCTCTCCCTCCGGCTGAGGGGGCTGTTCTGGGACCTCAGAAGGGCCTAGGGCAGGGCTGTCCGGGTGTCCCTGGAGGAGCTCCAGGAAAGCTCGAGGGTGCCAGGCCTGCAGAGCACAGGTCCTTGGGGGCTTGGGCAGCACACGGCGGGCAAGGCGGCCCAGCGCTCTGCGCACAGGGCGCTGCAGCAGGCCGTACAGGAAGGGGTGAGCTGCGAAGGCAGAGTAGGCCACCCAGGTGACTGCCGCCTCAGCCGATGCGGCTCGTGCTGCAGGCGCCAGGCACGCGCAGCCGTAGGGCAGCCAGCAGGCTGCGAATTGGCCCACGGCCAGCGCTGGGGCCAAGGCCGCCTTGCCCCCGGGCAGGCGAGGTCGGAGTGGCGGCAGGATTGAGAGGCGGCTGTCTAGAGAGTCGGAGCGCAGCCGGGACCCTCGCATGGACCGCGGGGGGCGCAGAGCGGCACGGCGGGCCACAAGGAAGATGCTGCCATAAGCACCAAGCAGCAGGAGGGCGGGCAGCGCGAAGGCCAGCAACGCCCAGAGTGGTCGGAAGGGCCCGAGGCCACCAGCCAGGACCGAGCAGCGCGCCGGGGCAGGGGGCGGTGCGGGCGGAGGCCCGAGCAACGAGAGCGCGCCCAGCAGCCCGGCCGCGGCCCACACGACGGCGAGCACAAGCGCGGGCGGCGGCCGCGCGCCGGGCCGAAGCGGGTGCACGATGAGGCGGTAGCGCGCTAGGCCTAGTGCGGCCACGCCGAGCGTGCAAGCCGGCAGCAGCGCAGCGGTGAGGAAGCGCGCGGCGCGGCATGGCGCCGGGCCCAGGCGCACGCGGCCTAGCCCCGGCGGCGGCGCGGCCAGCAGGCCCAGGGGCATGATGGAGGCGGCCGCCAGCAGGTCCACGACGCACAGGTGCGCCAGATAGAGCGCGTCGCACAGCCCTGGCGTGCGCAGCACTACGGCCAGCAATGCGCCGTTGCCTAGCAGTGTCGCCGCCTCTACGAAGGCCGCCAGGACTAGCCCCACCGAGCCTGCGACTTCTGTGGCGTTCAGCCCTGTGGTGTTGGCCATGCAAGCGTTTTGGCTTCACCCTGTGCTGGGATGCAAAGAGTGAAGTGGAGCCCCCGACTCTGAGATTCAAATCACCCATCCCTCGCTCCTCTGGCCCCTCACCTTATAGGCTGCCCAGGCGCTGGCTCTGTCGCCCAGGCTGCCGACCGCTGCGGGGCTTGGCCGGCCCCATGGAGAGGTGCAAGACTAAGCCTGCCGGCTCTCTCCCCTGCCCCAGCCCAGCACCGGCAACTTGGCCCCTGCTGGAGATGGTACTGGCTGTTACTCTGATGTTGCCCTTTAGAGACACCCAGAGCCGGGGAGGGAGGAGGAGGGCCTGGCACTGCCCCCTGGGTCCTAGCAGCTGCCAGCTGGAGGCTAGAGGCTCTGCTGTGCAAGTGCCTTGGGGTGCCCCTTGAGGGGGACCCAGAGCAGGCACAGCCTGGAGTCTAGACTGAGGAGATTAGAGTGTGGGCTTTGGAGTCAGCCAGACGCCGCTCTGCCTTTCCCAGTGGTGGGAAGTGGTCCCCATCTGCTCTCCTCCCCCATCCCCATCAGTGGGGCAATTAGATCATTCAGCCTTGGAATTGAGGGAAAACTGAGGTACCAGTGAGAGGAGCTGGAGCAGGAAGACCCTTAGGTACCCTCTGGCCCCCAGCAGAACCCCCCAGGTTCAGAAAGAGAGGAGGCTGGGAAAAGTGAGGGCGAGTTGCAAGCCATGACACATAGGAAGTGCTCAGCTGGTATTAGCTTGGCACAGAGTAGGTGCTTCATGATAGCGTATGGAATAAATGAGGCCTTAGGGGGCAACTACTGGCTTTTTGTTTTTTGGCCTGCTGGCAAACAAGTAAATTTCATCTCGGGAGTTTTCCTTGATGCCTTCCTTTCCCCAAGCCCCATATCCAATCCATCATCAACATACCCAGAATCCAACCATGCTCCCTGCTGCTGCTACTCTGGTCCCAGTCACCACCACCTCTCACCTGGACCATTTCAGCATCCTCCCAGCTGGCCTCCTGGCCTCTGCTCCTGTACCTTATGCTGGTCATTTGCCTATTTGCTCCACCCTTCCTCAGTACTGCTCGGTCTTCCAGGGAGCCATAGTTCCCAAGCTCCTTTGCCAAGTGGTTTTCGGGGAGGGAGCTACGGGAAGTTACCAGCCGGAAGACTGGAGGGTGGGAGGAGGGAAAAAGCTAGGGTTTTTCCTCTCTCGTGCTCAGCCTGGGGCTTTGGATCTACCACTGTGGAAGACACCCTCTCCTTGCATAGCCCTAGCTGCCTTTGGACACTTCCCTCTGTGGTTCTGGCTTCTGCATCCCGGTCTTGGACGTGCTAACACCATTTCCTTCCTTTATCCCTCCAGCCTAGGGGTGAGAGTTACTTCCTTTATTGCTAATCTTTGAATTGCCTCATCATCACCTGTTTGGTGGTCCAATTCCTTCCCTGTATCAAACTCCTCACCTGGAATACCTACAGTGATTTCTGTTGTATTGACTGGACCCTGACTGACCCACACTCTACAGTCCACTCTCCACACAGCAGCTAAGGTGGATCCTTCGAGAATCAGATCAGGTCATGAGCCTACTCTTAACCCTCCAAGCAGGGCTTCAAGAACCAGTTCATTCTGATTTGAACTCCTGAGAATTTGCATTTCCACCCCAGATATACTGAATCAGAATCTACATTTTAACAAGATCCCCAGGTGATTCATATGTATGACTTCCTGGGAACTCGTTAGAAATGTAGATTCTCAGCAGGGGGTTGGAACCAGAAAGAACTGGTCAGAAGCCCTGCCTCCAAGAGCGTCCTAGCATTGGAATCTCAGCGCCTCTGTGCTGTGAGTGGGCCTCTGTGATCTGCCTTCTCCCCACCTCTTTGACCTCACCTTCCTCCTTCCATTTCCAGACACAACAATCATCTTGCCAAACCGGCTCCCACGTCAGGGTCTTTGCACTTGCTGTTCCCTCTGCCAGAACACCCTTCCCTCAGATCTGTCCATGGCTTGCTCTCTCATTTAATTCAGGTCTCTGCTCAAAAGTGGCCTTCCCTAACCTTCTTTTCTAAAATTGTTCTACCTTCCCTTCACTCTCATCCTTTTGCCCTGTTATTTTCCTGGCACTTTTCCCTACCTGACGGTATATTTCATATTTATGTGTGTGTTTGTTTACAGCCCGTTTTACTAGAACGTAAGCTCTGTGAGAGCAGAGACCTCATCTGTGTCTTGCTCATGCCTGCGAGCACACGGCATCACAGGCACAGGGACAGTATCATACAGATCTACATGGTAGAGACCAGAGCATGAACCTCCAAGCTTGACTCATTTCATGCTGGAATTGGAAGAGTGCTGGTCCAATTCTCCATTATTCAGATGAAAAAACGGGCCCAGATCACACAGCTGAGTTGGACCTGTAACCCGGGTGACCTGCTTCCTAGAGCAAAATCAAACCAAACCTTGTTGCTGCTGAGCTGATTCTGACTCACAGCGATCCTGTAGGACGGAGTAGAACTGCCCCGTACAGCTTCCAAGGCTGTAAGTCTTTCTCCTCCTATACCATAGCCAAAAGTATAAACCTCCAAAAGTAAAGATTACAGCCTTGGAAAGCCTATTTGAGTCGGAATTGATTTGATGGCACTGGGTTTTAAGGGTGTAACAATTCGGAAACTCCTTTTTGTGTAGGATCAAGCAAATGATAGATTGATGTTGATAGAAAACTAAGGTTTTTACTATTAGAGAAAAAAAAATAAAAAACCAAAACCTCTTGCTGGTGAGTGGATTCCGACTCATAGCGACCCTGTAGGACAGAGTAGAACTGCCCTATAGGGTTTCCAAGGAGTGGCTGGTGGATTTGAACTGCCAACCTTTTGGTTAGCAGCCGAGCTGTTAAGCACTACATCACCAAGGTGCCTACTATTAGAGAAGGGAGCAATAAATATGGAATTGGGGAAAGATGGAAGAGCACTGTGGTGTTGGATTAGAATTAGAGAAACAGATGTAGGCAAATGTGTATCTATTTACACGTACGTGTTTCTTAGCTCTTTGCTAAGGGGACTTAAAGGCAATGACGTGGCAGTAGCACGGAGCACACCTACTCTAGGATTCTAGATCTTGGATTCTAAATACCATTTCCTGCTCCAAAGAATTCGGGCTCCTTGGAGAAGTGGCTGATTCCAGGTGTATGCAAGATGAGCCTAGAACACCTTGTTATGCCAGAAAGTAAGGAAGTGCTCAAAAAATGATGGGGACACAGGAGCCAGCTTGAAGGTGCTTCCACTGGCAAAATCTGGGACAATCTGAGGATCCAAAGACAGTAATGGATTATAACCCAGTGAGTAAAATAAGAATCCGTGAATCCACACTGATGATACAGAAATAAAATGAGAACACTTAATATAAAAGAAATGATGGAGTTAGGTAACTGCCATTTATAACTACCTCAACAAAAATTGATTTCAGGTCATTGATTGCAGGCAAAAATCATCAATGAATGTGAAAGCTAATGGGTGAAGGTTCGATGAGGAATGGGGGCATTTATACTCTCAAAATATTTCCCTATAGATTACCGATTAATTACAAAGGGGAGAAATGGTAATTTTATGGTGGAGAAACCTGGTGGACACTACCCTAATTAAGTGATCAAAGTTAATTAATATCACCAAGAATGGGACACGGTCTTCCTGACACAATGCACCCAAGACACATTATTTATATAGCATCCCTGTCCAAACTACAATACTGTGATCTAAGCATAAGCAGACATCAGACAAACCCAAGTTGAGAGACATTCTATAGAACACCTGGCCTGTACCCTTCAAGTGTCAAGAATCTCAAAGGTATGAAAGAAAGAGATAGGGGGAAAAGAAAAAAAAAAAAAAGGCCACGGGAAGAAGCTACAAATCACCAGGGTGGGGTGGGGTGTCCCCAAATGACCAACAGTTCTGAGTTGATGGTGAGGGTCCCCTCTGAAGGCTTAGTTACTACAGGAGGTGGGTTGTTAGGGTGATGGGTGTGGACTGACTAGGGTGGGTGGGTGACCCACATCAACCCTGTGAGTGTTTGCTCCCTGGAGTGGGGCTGGAGCTGCTGTGTGCTGGGCTCTGTGGAGAGACAGGAGCGCCAGGTGTAGCGCTGCTAAGGCACAGAAAAGCAGAGGCTGGAGGGTGAGCGAATAAGATGTTAATAAACCTGTCTGTGCACGGCTGACGTTTAACCTCTCTCTTGGATGTACAGTCTGGACTGGGTGGCCGGCCCAGTCTCGGGCTGTGCCCCTCTAACCACGCAGCCTTGAATAGACTGCAGCCTCTGTGCCCAAGTCATAACTCCAAGTCTCCAGTCACAGCCATCATCTTTGGAGGGGAAACTCTGGGGCCACAGCCACGCCCGGTGTAACAGGGATGGGAGGATGGGTGGTCATCGTCTGGGATACAGGAGGGCCTGGCAAGAAGGGGTGATATGGGGGCACCAAAGATGGGCAGGAAGATTGAACATCATGGTCTAGCCCCCCAGCAGTCACATGGGACAGGACAGGTAGCTGAGATGAATCTCCAGCAGGTAGCGCAGGTGGCACTGGCTCTCATTGTAGATGAGGTACTCGCTCTTGAAGAAGTCTGAGCTGTTGAACTCGGAGCAGGGCACGGGCTGGCCCTGAGGCACCTTCACTCCACGTCCATCCAGCTCCAGCTCTGTATCTTGGGTTGGATCTGCAGGACACAGTGGGGGCTGTGGGTGACCTAAGGGTCACTGGTCCTTCGCCTTACCAGGGACAGGCAGGCCCAGAGGCAGACCCTGGGTTAATTCTACCCCTACACTTTCCACATCTGCCACAGGCGACACCTGCTCATTCCCACCTTGCCCACCTCTAAACCTTTGCGCAGACTGGGCCTTCTGCCTGGAATATACTCCTCCACTTCTCTGCCTAGGAAACTCCTACTCATCCTTTACTGCTCAATGACACCTCTTCTTTGAAGCCCTCCTGGATGCCCCTCAGTGAATGTTTGTCAAATGACTAGGCAAGAAACCTGCTTGTTTTTTGTTTTTAACTGTGCATTAGGTGAAAGTTAACAGAGCAAATCAGATTTCTATTCAATAGTCTGAACATGAAGTGTTTCAAGGCCTTGGTTTCATCCCCCACAATGTGTCAGCACTCTCCTCATTTCTGCCCTGAGTTCCCTGCTTCCTTTTGTCCTGATTTTCTTCCCCTTCCTGCCTTCTCATCTTTGCTTCTGGACAGATATTGCCCTGTCGATCTTATTTGATTGTTCTAAGGAGCACGTCTCCTCTTGGGCATTATTGTTTATTTTATGGGCTTGTCTACTGTTTGGCTGGAAGATGGTCTCCAGGAATGGCTTCAGTTCCAGGTCAGAAAGGTGTTTCAGGGCCATAGTCTTGGGGGTTCCTCCAGTCTCCGTCAGACCAGTAAGTCTGGTCTTTTTTGTGAATTTGATTTTTTTGTTCTACATTTTTCTCCCGCTCGGTCCAGGGCCCTCTGTTGTGATCCCAGTCAGAGTGGTCGGTAGTGGTAGCTGAGCACCATCTAGTTCTTCTGGTCTCGGGTCGTGTAGGATGTAGTTCATGTGGTCCGTTAGTCGTCTGGACTAATTGCTCCCTTCGATCTTTGGTTTTCTTCACTCTCCTTTGCTCCAGATGGGAAGAGACCAATAGTTGTATCTTAGATGGCTGCTCATAATCTTTTAAGACCCCAGATGCTACTCACCAAAGTAGGATACAGAACGTTGTCTTTATGAACTATGCTGGGCCAACTGACGTAAATGTCCTGAGACTATGGTCCTTTGCCTTTGCGCCTGGAACTTCATCCCGCGAGGTGTGTGGTTATGTCTAGGAGATCTCCCTGCCTGTGCCCCTTGTGTGCTCCAGGAAGCCTGCTTCTTTACCTTGTCCCTCCTCACAGCCCCTTCCCTGCTTGCTTCCTCCCTGAAAACACCCCAGCTCACTGATTCCAGCCCCCCCGCTCCCCAGGTCTGCCCAGCTCCCTGGGACTCACCAGGCTCTGTGTGGCCTCGGGCGATGACACTATCAAAACCAGGGGGTGGCTGGTTCAAGATGGGCTTGCTGATGGTGATGTGGTGCTCTCCACCCAGTGCCACCTCCCCCAGGAACATGTAGCTGATGCAGTGGGCCCCGCAGGACATGCCAGTAACTGGGGAGACAGGGAAGCCCAGAGGTGGGCAGCTTGGCCCTCCTGCTTGACTCCCCGAGTTCCTCTGGTTCATTGTTATCTCCTCTGGCTTTGCCGTCCCAGCAAAGTGCTCACTCAACCCCCATCCTTTAAAGCACCCCCTTGCCTAGCCTGCTTCCCTGCCACCTCTGTTACTCGTCGCTCCCTGCAGCCAGGCCTCGGCCCCACTGCTGCCCTCACCAAGATCAGCAATGGCCTCCCAGTGACCACCCCGGGGGCCTGTCTCTCAGGCCTGCTCTGCTGCCTTCGTCGCTCCCATCCTTCATCCCCTACCCTGGAACCCCCCTGCGCTGGCTCTCCTGAACCCCTGGCCACTCTCTCTTAGACACTTCCTCCTCTGCCTGCGGTGGATCCCTTGGCTGTGGGCAACCTCAGACATCCTAGAGCTTGGACAAATCCCTGTACCTTGCTGTCTTGGGTGGGTGCGTAGCAGTGGACTCTAGGGATAGGGTGAGCCCGGGCTGAGAAGCCAGTCTGGGGGAGTCACCTCAGTGAGGATACTCCCAGTTAGAAACTTAGGGCTCACTAGAGACACCTTCGGCCCTTTCCCACATGCTGCCCAGCCCACTTCCCACACACCCTGGGTTCCCTCCTCCCATCCCCGCCACCTAGGGCTGGGCCCCATCACATCCTGTCTGGATGAGAGTATGGCCTCCTGCAGCCTCCGGGCTCTGCTCTGGCTCACTTCCACCCTCCTCACAGCTGCAGCCACTGAGAGCCTGCTATCCACAAGTCCAGCTGTGCTCCCCATCACTCTCTGGGTAAGGCCCCCTGCTCCCACCAGGCATGAGCTCTATACTTCAGTCCCAGGAAGTGCTCAGAGATCCTGACCTGCTGCAGTCTCCCAGCCTCTGTGCCCATCCCCTTACTGCTGTACACTGAAGGCTCCTCTTGCACTCCTCCCAGGTCTGGTTGGCGCTCTCATCCCATCTGTATCACTGCCTCCAGGAAGCCATCCCTGACTACCAGGTGTCTCCTCAGAATTCCCCCAAGCCCTAGAATGCCCCACTGAGCACTCCTGCCAGTAACCACTTAAGTTTCTGTGGTGCAGTAAATTACCTAATATGGCCTTTCTAGCCACAGTCTTTGTGACTCCCACACAATGATTGAGACCATGCAAACAAGGTGCTTGTGACACACCAAAGGAATTGGTAAGCTTGCTAATAATGCAAATAAGGTGCATAGAACCCTGCAGGGGTGGGGCCATGCAAATAAAGCATATGGAACCCTAACAAGGGGATTGGTCAGTTTTATCATCCTACTAGGCTTAAAAGAGAGACAATCCTACAGCAGGGGGGTACCTGACCACCACCAAGAAGAAGAGACGGGTCTGGAGCACGTCCTTTGGACCCGAGATCCCTGCACTGAGACTCTCCTGGATCCAGGAGACACAGAGAGGTGTGAGACAGCTGCGGTGGGGCTTCAACCCACGGAGCTAAGAAGTAGCCCCCAGCAGAGCCTGGTGGCGGCAAGACCCCAGTGAGGCCCAGCAGCAGAAGGCCCCAGCAGGGCTCAGTGGCAGCAAGACCCCAGCAGGGCCTGGTGGCAGACAAGAAGAAGAAGATGTCCTGATCAAGGAACTGCATCCTGAGTTGTTGTTCCTGTTACTTCCAAATTGATCTCAATCCCGAGTTACACCCTGTTACTTCTCTAATAAACCACTTAATTGTCAGTACGGTTCGTAAGTTCTATGAGATGTTGCAGCAAATTACCGAACCCAAAGACGGGAGGGGGAGCACCCAGGAGAGGGGGCGTAGCTGATGTTAGAGATGCTGGAATGATACAGCAGTTTGGAAAAGGTGGACATCTGGGACATCTTTAACCTCTGCCTCATAGGAACCAGCTTTGTGCTGAGCCTTAGAAAAGAAATTATTAATTTAGGGTCTCTCTCCTAGGTACAGGAGTCCCTGGGTGGCGCAAATGGTTAAGAGCTTGACAACTAGCCAAAAGGTGGTGGTTTGAGCCTACCTGGAGGCATCCTGGAAGACAGGCCTAGTGATCTACTTCCAAAAGGTCCCAGCCTTGAAAACCCTATGAGGCCGTCCTATTCTGCACACATGGGGTCGCCATGAGTTGAAACAGACTCGAAGGCAAAAACCACCACAGCAGCTCCGGGATACACCCTGAGCCTCCAGTGGACAAGGACTGGGCCCAGTCCACCTCAGCGTCTCCATTCTCAGCCCAGGACTTGGCCAAGAGGAGTGCCTCACCACAGTGGGCTGACTTGCTGTTCTCCGAGGCGGAGGAGACGCCCTTGCCAATGCAACCACCAGAGCGTGGCATGATGTGGAGCCCGCTGGTGAGGCTGGCAGCCACCACAGCCGCGCTGGCGCCGTGCCACAGCAGCTGCACACTGCCCTGCTGCGAACGGGCCTGGAACCTGTCTCCCTGAGTTGGAGGGCAGGCAGGGAATGGAAAGTCATCCCATCCAACGGCTCAGGTGCCTCTCTCTGCTGCCCAGGTGGCATGCCGAGGCCAGAGCCCCTCTGGTCACTAACACATTCACACACACGTGTGAGACCTAGGTCTGGCGGCCAGAGTTGCCAAGCTGGCTGGCTAAGGCACAGATAAGCACGGTTACCTCCCCAGGGACAGGGTGGAGATGGGGGATTGGGAGACTCTCCCTTACTTCTCCTTTTTGGTTCACTTTCCAAACATGCAGAAGAACAAGAGACCTGTAGCTGTAGCCAGTCTGTTCCAAGGAAGTCTGGACCACCTGTAGGGAGAGCGGAAGCTGGGTATCAAGGGCGGGGGATGCATGGACTAGCCCCCTCCAGTCCCCCCAGCCCAAGAGCTCTCCTCCAGCCCCGGAGACACAACCGGAGAAGGCCAAGGACAAAGGACTCCTCTGGGCACCTCGAGCAGCGGGCAGAGGGCCGGTGCCCACTGTCAGCTCAGCTCCTCTGTGGGACGCAGCTCACCTTGTCCTCAGATGCCCGAGTCCAGCAGCTGAAGCCGGTCCTTGAGAAGCTCGTAGTCTTGGTCCAGCGGGTGTGGCACCTCCTCCGCCTTCTTCTCCTCCTCAGAGGTTACCTGCAGGGTCTGGGCCAGCTCGATGTCCGCCGGTACCTAAGATGACAGGCACTGGCAGCCTGTCCACCCACCTGACCCCCAGCCACATGACTGGCACCATGGCCACCTCACCTCTCTGTCTGCCTGTCTATCCCCACCCGGCTATCTGGCTGGCCTTCCCCTCCCCTGTCCTTTGCTCTGCTCATCATAGTCTACCCATGTGGGCCCTCTCAGCCATCTGTCCCTCATCTCCCGTGCCCATTCTGCCTGCTGTCCGCCCACCAGCCCTCACCAGCAGCATGTCCTTCTTGGTCTGCAGCATCTCGGTAGAGTGGACGGGCAGTGGCCGGGTGCGGCCGAAGTTGTGGGGGATGACAGCGTACAAGTGGGAGGACAGCTCCTCCAGGCTGGGGCCGCCATCTGTGGGGGCTTTCAGGGCCACCTCCAGCGTCTCCAAGGCCTCGAGGCCCCACATGATCTGTTGCTTGCTCAGCTTTCCCAGGGGCATCTTCTTCACATCTTGGGGTGGGGGGCAGGGGGAGTGGTGAGACTCAGTCCAGCTGCCCTACCTCCCCAAGGCCCCTACGACTCTACCTGGCCACTCACCCAGGTTCATGAGTGCCATGGTGTTCTTGAACATGTCCTTGCCGAAGATGTTGGTGATGAGCTTCTGTGTGGCTGGGTCCAGGGAGCAGGGCCTCACCCGCTGGACCACGGTCGCCACCGGGCCTCCATCCGCCTAAGAGCAGAGGACACATGGGAGCAGGAGCAGCCAGCAGGGCACCTGCACCTGGAGCTGGGCCCGGCATTAGCCAGAGATGGCCAGACGAGGCCAGAGCAGGAGGCCTATGCCTGAGGTTGCACAGCTGGGCAGTGGCAGAGCCGAACCGGCTGGGTCTCCCTGTACAGTACCCTCCCCGGGCCCAGGCACCCGCCCCCCCACCCCCCACCACTTTACCTTCACCGCAGCCTCCTGGGTCTCGTCCTCTCCCTGCACCTTGATAAGTGTGTACTTGCCGGGGTCCACGAAGTGGTCTCACTCGGCCCACTTGTTCTTGGTCTTGTCCTGAAACTTCTTCTCAAAGCCCTTCTTTGCTGCCTTCAGAGACGGGAAGGGGCTGAGCTTTGACTGACCCACTTCTCCCTTCAACTGACAGCCTTCAGGGGCACGCCTACCACGGTGCCCTCCGTAAACATGTGTTGGCCTCTGTGCTGGGCCAGGCCCTGTGCCGCGGAAGGATGGGGGTTGGGCAGATAGCAGCTATGGCCTTTTGGTATGAGTAAACTGTGTGGACCCTGGGGAGCAGGGAGTGGGTGTTGAGCAGAAAGAGGCGGGAGCAGGCAGCACAGGGTGGATGGGCAGCACTCACCACGTGGCCCCAGCGGTTCCAGCAGATGAAGCTGTCGCTGTCTTCCAGCAGCTGGATGGTGTAGAATTTGTTGTTGTTTTTCCCGATGTTGGTCTGGTTCAGGGTGTAGCCATAGTCTTCATGCACCTGGGGCCGGAGGGGGTGTGGTGGGAGGACAGGCTGGCTGGGGCTGCCCTCAGGCTGGACAGGGGACCCAGACACTGAGAGGAACCTGATGGGGACAGAAGCCACACTGCATTGGAAAGCCAGAAGGGGCCCTGTCTGGGAAGACTTGAGTGGGTCATGGCTTTGGCCTAGGGGACGCAGTCTGACGGCACATGGCAATACCTTGGCCATGCGCTTGCTGGGGAAGGGGGTTCAGGGAGGACAGGTCTGTGCCCTAGGTTTTCTGACAGGGATGTGACCCTGCTTTGGGAGGGATCTAAGGGGAATACGGGCCTACCCTGTGGAGCTGGTCTGAGGGGACAGGGGTGAGCCCTGAAAAGACTGAGGGAGACGGGGCCCTGATTTAAGTGTGGTGGTAGGGAGGCCTGAGAAGCTCAGGGGGCTGCCCTGAGGTCTGAAGGGCAGATGCAACCTACAGCCCTGACGCTAAGGATCTTGGGAGAACATGGCCTTTCTCGGTAGCTTACTTGGGAGCCTTGAGCTACTTGGCCAGAGCTGAGCCCCAAGGGGGCAGGGGGCAGGTCTGGGTGTATTTGTATTTGTGAGGGGGCAGGTCTTGGGCTCTCCCCCCAGGTCTGACTAAGGGCTGCAGGCTCACCTGGGTTTCAGGTCTGTGGATGAGCGGGCACGCGGGGTCTACACAGATTCTGAGCTTCTCTTCAGGCGCAGCCCTGAGGGCCTCAGCAGTGCAGCGAAAGCTGTCTTCCTCTTCTGCCCCCTGCCGCCCCTTCTGAAGGCCCTCGCTCTGCACCCGGGCCTTGAGCTTTGGAGCCATGGCTATACTGGGTGGTCAAAAAGGGGTCCTCATATCTCCATGGTCTCCCCAGTCCACCTGGCAGCAGAGCACCAACTTGCCCCAGCTTGCCCCCTGGCGGCCTCCCATTGCCTCCTCCTGCCTCTGCTCCTGCATTCCCAGCCCTGGACCAAAACCACTCTCCGCACCCCAGTCGCTTCCCTTTCCCTGTCACAGGCGCAAGGCCAGGATGCCCCCCTACGCTCTTAAGGAAGGATCTTGCTGTCTACCTTCTCCAGTGAGGCCTGATGTGGTAGGAAAAGAGAGACAAAACTCTTTTGCTTCCCACTTCTAGGCTCCTCCCTTTCCAGAGCACTCTGGGCTGAGTCACCAGAGCTGGGGGGTAGGGGGAGAGGTCAGCGGCCAGGAGGGCGGATCTGTCCCCCCAGAGCTTGGGACGAAGTGCTGTAGAAGCTCTTCTCAACTGACCCAACAGTTCTGGGGTGCCAGCCAGGGTCCCAAAACAGTGGCTTCCCAGAAGGCAGTTTCCAGCCCTGCCCTGCCCTCTCTGTGGAGGGCTGTGGGCAGGGACATAAGGCACTCACCTAAGAGGAGCAGGGACCTGGGAGAGGTGGCTGCCACCAGGCCTGGTATCAGGACGCTGTGTGCACCTCCCGCGGCAGTCCGAGGTCTGGAGACTCCTCTAGCTCCTCTTTGTGAGCCTTAGGTGTGACTTAGGGAGGGACTTCCCAGTAGTCGCCAGAGGCGGGCCAGAATTGAGTAATGGACAGAATTCCAGCTATTTGGCCACCAGTCACCTGAGTCAGAGGCCAGGGCTAGAAGAGGCGAGGTGGGCCTGCCTCACGGATAAGCGAACACTTGATCGCGGCAAGGCCAAGGCTAAGGGACTGGCGCACTCTCAGCGCGGCTCGTATGGCCTGGGGCATGCGGCACGTGTCCGCCAGTTGCCCAGTGACCTTGGGCCCGGGGACCCTCCCTCTCTCCCCGGGGGCTGCCTGGATCTCGCCCATTATCCAGCGCCAGGCTGCTTCACCCCTTGCCAGGCTCGTTCACTCCTTGTCCCCCGCGACGGGGAACAGTCACGCTCCGAAACTCGCAACCCCGCATCTCCGTCGCCCCCTAGCGGCCAAGGGGCGCAACCACAGAGAAGGTTTTTCGGTTTTGACGCTTTCTGGTCCGATCTCTCCTTAGACGTCAGTCAGCAGCCAAACGCACGCGCCTCAGCCTTGGGCCGGAAGCGAGAAGTTTGCTTCCTACTGGAGCCTGGCGCAGGAGCCTATCGGAGCTCTGGGAGGCGTAGCCACAGGCGTCTGTCCTACGGGCGCTTGGGGGCGTGACAGAGCCGATAAAGGGCCCAATGAAGCTGTGGGAGGCGGTGCCCTCTGGGCTATGGGAACCTATCAGGGTGTGGAGTCTTGCGGGGCTGCCGGGGTTTAGTCGCCACGTGAGTTCTCCAGCCGCGTCTGCTGCAGATATTGTGGACAGCATGTCTGCGACAGCGGCGCCTCGCAAGCGGGGAAAGCCGGCCTCGGGGCTTGGGGCCAGTGCAGGGGCAGGCAAGCGACGGCGGAAGGTGAGCCTGGCGCTTCCGGGGTCGGTGTCAGCACTGCTCTTGGGACCACCGTCTTCCCATGCGGGGGACTTGGGCCTGGGCCCTCTCCCAACCCCTCTCCCCAGACCTCAGCTAGAGTCAGCTTCGCCCCTCTTCCTGCGGACCAAGGCCTAAAAATCCTTGCGCTTGAGCCGCGGCCACCGCCTCTCCCAGTTCTGGGGCTCTCGAGGGATCAGCATGGGCCCTTGGTTAGTGTTGGGGGTGATTGGGACCCTTGAGCAAAGAAACGATCATGTAATTTTCAGGCCGATTCTGCTGGGGCCAGGGGCAAGGCCAAGGGTGGCGGCAAGATGAATGAGGAGATCTCCAGCGATTCTGAGAGCGACAGGTGAGCTGTTCTTTTCCGGCTCGTGGAAGGAAAACTGAGACCCACGATGCATGGACATAATACTTAATTGGGGCAGAGCTGGGCCTAGGACCTAGGACTCTGGTTCTTGGCTCTCAGCTTGGGACTCTTTCCTTCAGTTTCGGGCCCTGAGGAGTCTCATTTCCTGTCTCTCTGATCTCCGTGTGAGGAGGACCCTGATTCCAATGGGACACCACTGAGACCTCCCTAGCTTATGACAGGGAACTGAGCACAGGGCTGGACTGACTGGCAAAGGGAGAGGGCTGCAAGAAATGCTCGCTGGTGCTTCATTTTGTTTTCTCGCACTTCCACAATTACTTGTCTGCCTCCCGCCCAACACTGGCCTCACTGTTGGAGGTACAGAGATAAGCAGACAGGTAATGAAAAAATGGGCTGTAGTGGATTTGTGTCTCACAGCTCTGTGTCCTGGGAACACGGAGGCGGGGGGGCAGGGGAGGGGAGGTGCTATCTAGATAGAGCCTGGAGAGATGAGGAGGAGTCCACCACAGAGAGGTGGGGAAAGCATTCAGGGATCAAAGAAAAGTCTGGAGTGTAAGTGTGCTGGGATGGAGGGTGGGCAGGGGCTGGTGGTGCATCTGATTTTGGAGGGCTTAAAATGCCTCCCTCATTCTGCAGGTGACGGGTGGAGCACGGTGCAGGGTTTCAAGTGGGAACAAGCTGTCAGGCCTGATTTGTGGGTTGGAGGCTCTCTAGGGAATCCTAGTGCCTTTCATATGCGTTGGCCTCAGAAATTCTGCTTCTGAAATTGAGTGTGTGTTGGCCTTAACCAGCTTACAAAAAGACTTAATAGAGTTTCCTTAATTTTAAGATTTTTGTGTGTGGTTGTGGAACAGACCCTGTGTTAAGTATAAACACTTCTAAGTATTTATTAAATGTCGTATCGTGAAGTGTGTTAGGTATGTACGAGTGAAGGAAACGTAACTTTGCTATAAAGAGTAATGGTAAAGCGATGAATGTTCGTGCACCCACCACTCAGATTAAGAAACAGAACATTTGCAGAACGTTAGGAACCCTAACTGCTATTTCTGACTTGAGTTGATAATTTAAAAAAAAAAGTTTTTTTACTTTTGTTAAGGTATGATTCACATACAATAATGTTAATCTTTTTTAATGTGCAGTTTGGTTAGTTCTGACAGATGTATGTAGTCATATAAATAGCACCACAAGGAAGATACCAAACGGTTCTTTCACCCTCCCCAGAATTCTTCTGTGCTCCTTTGTAATCAGCCTTTTCCCCTAGCCTCAGCCCGTGTTAACCACTGTCCTTAGAGTTTTGCCTTTTCTAGAATGTCATAGGAATGGAATCGTATGGTGTATACATTATTGGTTTTTTTTAGAGTTTTGCCTTCTATGTATGAATCCGTAAACAATAGATTGATTTATTTGGATAAACTGAGTAGAGGTCCCAATCTTGGCTGTGTGAGGGCAAGGTAGCACCACCCCTGTTGGCAGAAAGTCTGCTGGCATGGGCGCTGAATGGTCTCTGGGGCCTGGCCTTGGCTTATCTGAGAGTTTTCAAGGCCTCTTCTGAGGAAGTCCTGAGCAAGATCATGAGGGAGTCCTGGGAAACAGACTTGGAGTACCTGATGGGGACTAGATATCTGCAGGCATGTGATCAGAGGGAGCAGGCTGCCCTAGATTTTCTGCTGCTGAGCTCCCATGACCCACCTCCAGCGCCTGGCAGCAGGTTAAAGCAGGACTGGTCTTGGAGTGCAGTGAGTGCCCTCAGCTGGTCCAGGGAATGAGGCATGGAAGGGAAAGCAGGAACTTCACCAGCACAGGGTCAGGCCAAGCCAAGGCCAGCTAAGATTCACCTGGCTCACCATCCTCGGGGTAAAGGATAGTGCTGTGGCAGCTGAGATGGAGCCCCAGTGTGTATGTCTGCCTGTTCAGTTCTCAGATCCGAGGACTGGCTGCCCTCAGTGTCTGGGGCTGGGTGTCGTCTTGGGATCTGTTCTTTTCAACAGATCCCCGTTGGGTCTCCTGTCTTCTATACCCCATGCCTTTCTCATTCTCGTTTATTGTTTTGTTTGGGGAGCATATTGTCCATTCTTGAAAGAGGAGGAAAGGACCAAATCTGTGATTCTTTACACATTTGACAGTGTTTTTATCTGTCATTGATGGTATAATTGGGGGCAGCATTCCAGCATTTTCTTTCAGGCTGTGGGGCTCCTTTTTCTTGTTCTCAGTGATGCTGTTGAGATGGCTGAAGCCATTTTGGTTCCTGGTCTTTTGGACATGACCTCAGTTTTCTCTGGAATCTTGTCAAATCTTCTCTGGTTCTCCCAGAGTTGAGCAATTTTGCAGTGGTCTTTTTGGGTGTTGGGCCTGTTTTCACTCATGCAGGCCACTTGGTAACATGTGTCCTTCAGTTTTCTGCATACATGATCATTGGCCAGGAGGGCTGGCAGGAAATGGGGGTCGAGGCCCCAAGTGGCTGGGAACACATCGAGGAGGTATGGTCTGAGAGGCCCGAGGGGTGGGTTGAGCTGCCTCAGACCCAGCCACCTCCTGCCCACAGCCTGGCTCCGAGGAAGACCGAGGAGGAGGAGGAGGAGGAGCTGGAGGAGACCGCGCAGGAGAAGAAGCTGCGCCTGGCCAAGCTCTACCTTGAGCAGCTCAAGCAGCAAGGTGAGTCTGTGCATGGGGCAGGTGAGGGCCAGGGCCTGTGCCTAAGGCTGCTTGCTGCCCACTGCTGCAGCCCCAGCTGCTGATGGGTGACAGATGCAGGTACCCAGTGGGCTGCCGGGGCTGGTGGTGCTGGCTGCCCTGTGGGGGGTGGCCAAGAGCTCTAATGGGCCTTCTGGGGTGGGCGAAGTCTGTGGGGGCCTTCAAACTGGTCTGATAGGCAAAGGCAGGGGGTGAGCTGGAGACCGTCCAGCTTTCCCAACCATCTGCCTGAAGCAGCACGAGTTTGGGGCCCAGCATGGGGGTTTGGTGGTTGGGGATGGGAAGGGGAAAACGGGGTCTTGACCTTGATCTACTTGGTCCCATCTATCCGGACAGAGGAGGAGAAGGCCGAGGCCCGCGCGTTTGAGGAGGACCAGGTGGCAGGACGCCTGAAGGAGGATGTGGTTAGTGTCGAGGGCAGGGGTGGGAGAGTGGAGGGGGCTGGGCCTGCTCCCAGGGTCTCACGCCTCTCTCCTCCATGCAGCTCGAGCAGAGGGGCAGGCTGCAGAGGTCGGTGGCAAAGGAGGTGAGTGGGCAGGACTCTTTGGGGGTAAGGTTGGAGGGAGTTGGGGGCCCAGCCTGGGTGGGTGGGCCCAACCTGGTTTGGTGGGCCGATGGCCTAGTTGGGGGCTCAGGGTCTTTGCTTTGTCACACGGTGGGCACTTGGGCAGTCCAGGCCAGGTGAGGGTCTGGTTCTCGAAGCCTTGGGTCTGATTTACTTCTGGCTGGGGCGGGTGGAAAAGGATGCTCCCGGCCATGGTGACCCGGCCCCTTCCTGCCCAGATCCAGGCCCCAGCCCTGGCTGACATTCGGGTCTTGCGGGGCCACCAGCTCTCCATCACCTGTTTGGTCATCACCCCCGACGACTTGGCCATCTTCTCCGCCGCTAAGGACTGTACCATCATTAAGTGTGAGTGCGTGTCTGGGTGGGGGGGCCCCCCGAGGGTCATCAGGGAGGGCTCATGTGGGGAGGGGGAGGGAGAAGTTGGGGCAGACAGCCCTGGTGGGGAAATTGTCTGGAGGCAGGCATGCTTCCAGAGAAGGAGGTGCTTTGTGGGTGGCAGTGGACGCTCTGCCCAGCACTGGCGATCATGAACTCCCTGCCCTTGGAGAGGGCTGAGCAGAGGCAGAACGATGGTTTATTGGGAATTGATGCCACAGGTGGACTGGAGGACATTTGAGGCCCTGTACAGTCCTGGGTTGAGTTCCTGGTCCTCCTGGGCTCTCACCCTTTGACTGCTGACACTCTCCTCATCTACCACGATGGTAACAGAAAAATCTCACACTGTCACTCCCAAAGCCTTTCCATGCCTCTTCTCTTCCCTGGGTCTCACGCTGCCTCGTGGCATTATTGACTCCACCTGACAGTTGAGGAAACAGGTGACTTGCCAGGGGCTCCCAGTGGCTGAGCCAGGTCTTCTCTCCAGGACTTTTCCGTGGCCCCATGCTGCCCTTTGGGGGAGGTTGCCAGCCAGCCCTATCCCCATCGTGCTAGCCTGCCCCCTTCCCCGATGGCAGGGAGCGTGGAGAGTGGACGGAAGCTGCGTGTGATCCCTCGAGTCAAGAAGGGTGTCGAGGGGCAGCCGCCCGGCCACAGTAGCCACATCCTCTGCATGGCCATCTCCTCCGACGGCAAGTACCTCGTAAGGCAGGGTCGGCCCTGGGACGGGCGGGCAGTCTGGGTGCCCAGTGGGTACCTGTGGCCATTGTCCTTATTCCCACAGGCCTCGGGCGACCGCAGCAAGCTCATCCTCATCTGGGAGGCTGAGAGCTGCCGGCACCTGTACACCTTCACGGGACACCGGGACGCCGTGTCGGTGAGGAGCCGCGCTTCCCACAGCACAGAGTTAGCGAGCACCTACTGAGGGGGCCGGCTCGGTGCCAGGCCCTAGGGAGCCGGCAGAATGAGGCAGGAGGTACACTCCGGTGTAGTGAGTGGTGCCAAGGAGGTAAATGGAGGGAAAGGGTAGCGAGAGCCAGGAGACTGAGTTGAGCTCGTGCAGTGGTTAGGGAAGGCCTCTCTGAGAAGTCTGCAGGTGGAGAGGGACTGCAGAGAGTAGGTGGGCATGTCCCTGACTCCAGACAGGGCCCCACAGCTCTCTAGGGGGGCTGGCTTCCGGTGCCACACAACTTGCTTTACCAGAAGGCTCTCCCAGGTGTGACCTCAGTCTTGCCTGCTGTAGACCAGGCCCCCTTTTACAGTAAGCCCTGGCCCTCTTTCCGTGCACCCTTAGGGGTTGGCATTCCGCAGAGGCACCCACCAGCTCTACAGCACATCCCACGACCGTTCTGTGAAGGTGTGGAACGTGGCGGAGAATTCCTATGTGGAGACGCTGTGAGTGTGCACAGGGAGAGGGTGTGCACATGTGTGTGCCTGCCTACGCTGTCCTGATCCTACCTGTGTGTCCTGCCCTCAGCTTCGGGCACCAGGACGCGGTGGCTGCGCTGGATGCACTGAGCCGGGAATGCTGCGTGACAGCTGGCGGCCGGGATGGGACCGTGCGGGTGTGGAAGATTCCTGAGGAATCCCAGCTTGTTTTCTACGGCCACCAGTAAGGTGGCCTGTGTACCAGATGGGGTTGTGGGCTGGGGGTGCGGTTGGGCACGTCCCTCACAGTCCCTTTCTCTAGGGGCTCCATTGACTGCGTCCAGCTCATCAATGAGGAGCATATGGTGTCGGGTGCAGATGACGGGTAAGAGCTGCCTTTCTGCCGTCTCCTACCACTGCTTCTGGGCTCTTGCTGCCCCCAAGGCCCTGAACCGATGCCACAGGGTCCCTGCCAGCCCTGTGCGGGAGCTGGTTTAACCCTTTTTCATAGATGAGGACCCTGAGGCCCAGAGAGTTTGGGTGACCTTGTCCGCATCCTATGGCTGGTCTTTTGCTCTGCTCCCGGCCCCTCACCACTGTGCTCTGCCCACAGCTCTGTGGCCTTGTGGGGCCTCTCCAAGAAGCGACCGCTTGCCCTGCAGCGTGAGGCCCACGGGCTGCGGGGAGAGCCGGGCCTGGAGCAGCCCTTCTGGGTGTCCTCTGTGGCCGCCCTGCTCAACACAGACCTCGTGGCCACAGGTGGGTGCCTTGTGGGGCAGGGAGGAGGGGTCGCAGGGCAGGCCAGTGCAGGTGATGCTCACTGTCCCCGTGTCCCCAGGCTCCCACAGCTCCCGTGTACGGCTCTGGCAGTGCGGGGAGGGCTTCCGGCGGCTGGACCACCTCTGCGACATCCCCCTGGTGAGCGGGCCTTGAGTGCTCAGCCTGTTTTTGCCATACTCGCGAGCCCCTGGAGCTTGAGGGCCCTGGAATTAGCTCTTTACCATCCTTACTGCCAGACGGAGCCTCCTGAGGGTAGGGCCAGCTGTGACTTCTTCGTCAGCCCAGCTCCTAGCACAGGGCCTGGCAGGAGCCTTCCTTCCTCTCCTCCTCTTGCTGCCTGTCCTAGGTGCTGGGGTGCAAGGCTGGGCAGAGGCATGGCGGTCTGGCGTGGTGATTGGTTCTGCAGGGCTGGCCAGATTGAGGGCCAGGCTAGAGTGGACTTGACTGTGTCGGCACTGGGGTGACTGGAGGAGGGTGCGGGCTCAGTCAGTGGGACCTGCCGAGAGTGCAGGGTCTGGGTCAGTGGTCGCGGGGGCTCCAGGGCCCCACAACCAGGAGCCAGACCCCGGGCATGCCCCTGGCACACCTGGTGCACGCTGTCTCCTTCACCCTCACAAACTCCCTGTCACCCCATCTCACGAGCGCAGAGGCTGGGTGAGTAACCAGGTGGCAGGAGGCAGAGCAGGGACCGCTGTGCTGCTGGGGCTCTGGTGGGGGCTCCGTTCTCACTCTTTCCCCGCGTCCGTCTCTCTCTTCAGGTTGGCTTTATCAACAGCCTTAAGTTCTCCAGTGCTGGGGACTTCCTGGTGGCTGGGGTGGGGCAGGAGCACAGGTGGGTGGTGCCCTGCGAGGGGAGAGGGCGAGGGGCAAGGTGGCGCTGCCTGGGTGGCTGGGTGGGAATGGGGGTGGCACCCAGGTGGCAGGGTGGCTGGGGCTGGCCTGGGCCTCAGCTGCTCCTCTTGTCCCTGCAGACTCGGCCGATGGTGGCGGATCAAAGAGGCTCGGAACTCCGTCTGTATCATCCCCCTCCGCAGGGCCCCCACGCCCCTGGCTGCTGGCTCCTGACACTCCCCCTTTTTTATTTAATCCTTCTCAGGCTGTGCCCCATCCTCTTTGTATTAAAAGCCTCCACTTTTGGGCCCCGTCTCCTGCAGCTTCTTTCGGGGGCGGGGCAGGGACCATGGTTTGGAAAAGGCCTAGGGAGGGACAGGATTCCAACAGTCTGTGGGCTCTGCTCCTCTGCTTGCCTGAGGGGCTGTATCCTTCTCCAAGGAGCCTGGGGCTGGAGACAGCTGGCTTCTGGTCCCTGCTCCCCAAGTATCTTTTACAGCCTTGTCAGGCCAGCTCCCCACCCACCACCTGGGCTGGTAGAGGTCAGAAACCACCCCCCGGGAGTCGGGAAGCCATGGGTATAGTATCCAATTTTGTGTACAAGCCACCTGTGGTTATGCTAACTGAACTGAAGACTGCGAGGCCCACAGGCCCGGCGACCCTGACTTCCCCACTAGGCCAGGTCCAGAAGCCGAAGGGGACAGACTGCCCCTGAGGTGGGGGTCAGGAATGGGGGTGGGACCCTGCACTGGTGGGCCTACTGCCTGGGGACAAGGGTCAGAGTTGGGGAGAGCTCTGCCCTTGGTCCCAATGTCCAGACTGCATCGCCCATCACGGTAGTGCCCCTGCCAGGCAAATGAGTGTTGTTTCTCCTTGATTTGGATAATTCTCTTCTGTGGGTGGGACCAGTGAGGAGCTGGAGAGGTGGACTGAGGTGTAGAACTGTAATGAGACCCCGTCCTCAGAGGAAGGATGAGAAGGAGCTGTGCCGGAGTCTGCCCTAACTCTCTCCAGGGTTTGCATCTCTTAACCCGTTGGACCCCACAGCTGAGCCTGTGGTTCTCCGGGCAGCATGGTTCCCTCGGGAGGAAGCCACTAGCTTCTGTCTTGCTCCTCTGCTCAGGAGGCCTTCACTCAGACATCCTACTGGGTCCAGAGGGGGCAGATTCAGACTGAGCCCCTCAAAATCTTGAAATCGATCAGAAGATACTGATAAAATTCACTTCTTGTGTAGTGTCTCAAATCCACATTGTGTCTTATAGATCTCTAGAGATTATCCGTTGAGCTCAAGGATGGCGTAAAAATAGCCTGAATAACGTAAGCAACACTGGAGCGCCCCGAGTGTGTGATCCCTTCCCTATCAGTACATTCCCAGGGAGGAATTAAATCCTGAAAATGAATACCCTTGGAATTCAAACCAAAAATGATTTCTCCCATTAGATTTCTCTTCTCAGCCTTGGTCACCTGGGACTTCGTTCCATTGTTGGGTTCCTGAGCAACGCTTGTTTATCAGCAGTCATGGTGCCTTTAGCCTCTTCTGGGACCCTTCCTCTCCCCTTTTGCCTTGACTGAAACCTGGCTGCCTCATGAGGATATGCCTTCCACTCAGCTCTGAGTTGGAGTAGAGTGAGCGTTTTCCAAGGTTCCTGCATCAGCTCGCTATTTCTGTGTAACAGACCATCCCAAAATTCAGTGGCTTAAAACAATTATTGCTCCTGAGTCTATAGGTCAACTGAGCGTTTCTTCAGGTCTCAGCTCACTCGTGCTTTTGCCCTCAGCTGTGAGCTGGGACTTTGCTGATCTTGGCTCGTCTCTCCTACGTATGAAGGTTGACTGTCAGGCTCCTCTAAGACCTGAGCCAGGACAACTGGACTCTCCAGTGCGTGGTTTCTCGTCCTCCAGCAGGCCAGCCCAAGCTTGTTTGCATGTCTGGGCAGGCTTCCAGGAGAGTGAGGGGAAACATGCAAAGCATCAAGAGACCTAGGCTTGGAGCTGGCACTTCTATCACAGTCTGTTGGCCAACAGGCAGGCCCATATTTGAGAGAAAGACTACCTCTTGATGGGAGGAACTGCAAAGTTATTTTGCAGAGGGTATAGATATGGGGACATTTCTGCAATTAATCTACCACATCTGTTCCCCAGTTCAGAGCATCACGCCTCCTCCCTCCTACTAGAGCAAGAGCTGTGGCTTCTTGCTCTTGAGCAGGCAGAGGACCATGCTAGAGGACAGCATCAAACTGATGGCCCAGGAGGAGGCAGGGATGGAGTGACCAGATCCCAGCCTACTAACCACTGTTAGGAGGGTAGCACATTAGATGAGCATCTGGTACCCACTCTTCCCACCACCTACCTGAGAATGGGCCTAGGAGCAAGGTCTGAACCCCTGGCCCCCCACCCCCACCCCACCAGGGCATATGCCCTTGCATCACTCTGGGGGAAGCGCCCAGTGACCCTAGCTCCAAAAGGGAAACAAATGCAGGGAGGCAAAAGCAATGGGACCGGCAACCTGTTTTCTTTCCAGGATGGGCTTCATCTTTCTGCAGGTGGTGGCAAGGGATGAGGCCACTGCACAGGGATGGTGGCAATAATCTCTCCTGGGGACCTGTGGCTTTGTCTGCCGGGTACTTTCTTCTGGAAAGAATTTCCGTTTCTTTTGGAAAATTATCCTTTCCTCCTCACAACATGTCCAATTGTCCATCCATCATCCATCCATATGTCTATCCATCAGTTCAAAAAAACTTTATTGAGTTCCTGTCTTTTAGAGCTGCTATAACAGAAATCTGAGTGGGTGGCTGTAACGAACAGATTTATTTTCTCACAGTTTAGGAGGCTGAAAGTGCGAAATCAGGGCGCTAGGTCTTGGGGAAGGCCTCTCTCTGTGGGCTCTGGGGGGAGATCCTTGTCTCTTTTTGCTTCTGTTCCTTGGCTCCTTGGTGATCTTCATGTGGCATGGCATCTGTCTTCCCCCATCTCTGTTTGCTTCCCCTGCTCCTTTTATATGTCAAAAGAATGATTTAAGACACATCCTGCACTAATACTACCACATTAATAGAACAAAGAGAACCCATTCCCAAATGGGATTATTACCACAGGTATAGGGGTTAGAATTTACAATGCATATTTTTGGGGGACACAGTTCAATCCATAACAGTTTCAATGATACCCCAGATCCTGTTGAAGGCTGTGAAGATATCAAAATGAATGAGAAGCTTATACTCAGAGGAGACAAAGTAAGCAAATAAGCAGACAATACAAATTCAGATGATTAATACTGTGAAAAGATAAAGCAGGATAAAGGGATACAGCCTGCGGGGGAGGACAGGATGGGGGAGATTAAGAGTCCAGTTGACAATAAATTACATTTGCAATGTCTAGTAGACACGAGGAAGCTGAATAGGCAATGAGCTTACTGCTAGTTGTTTTGTATGTATTTTATAACATGTATGTAGCCATGGAGTTCTGGGCTGCTGACTGTCCCCGATCCAGGGGTGGATGTGGCCCCTGGCCCGACCAATTGGAGTATCAATTTTCCATAGCCAAGATAATTGTTTTGGGGGTGGGCACATGAATCTAGATAGTCTAGTTGGACTCAGTTTGGGGGCTTTTGCTTGGAACTATTGGGAAGAGTAGTTGCTTTGAGAAGGGTGAGGTGGGAACTGCTGACAGTTATTTTGCCACTGTTGGGGGTCGGGATCTGCTGGGAGTAGATTCAGCAGAACGACACAGATGGAGAGAGTGTGAGAGTGAGCTAGGACAATATTGTTTGAACCTCTAGATTCAGCAGTGCCTGTGATGGCCAGTTCCTCCTTTTAAGACCGTTTGAGTTTTCTCTCATGTGCGACAGAGTGGTTCTTGACTAATAATAAGCCAACCCACCCATTGCTGTCAAGTAGATTCTGACTTACGGCCCTCCATAGGACGGAGTACAACTGCCCCATAGGGTTTCCAAAGCTGTAAATCTTTACAGAAGCAGACTACCACATCTTTCTCCAGAGGAGTGGCTGGTGGGCTCCAGCTGCTGACCTTTTGGTTAGTGGCCAAGCACTTAACCACTGTGCCACCAGGGCTCCTTTGACTAATAATGTTGTTGTTGTTAGGTGCTGGCGAGTCAGTTCCAACTCATAGTGACCCTATGTACAACAGAACGAAACACTGCCCTGTCCTGCACCGTCCTCAAAATCATCGTTATGCTTGAGGCCACGGTTGCAGCCACTGTGTCAATCCATCTGATTGAGAGTCTTCCTCTTTTTTGCTGACCCTCTACTTTACCAAACATGATGTCCTTCTCCAGGGATTGATCTCTCCTGATAACATGTCCAAAGTATGTGAGATGAAGTCTCTTGCTTTTAAGGAACATTCTGGCTGTACTTCTTCCAAGACGGACTTGTTCGTTCTTCTGGCAGTCCATGGTATGTTCAGTATTCTTCACCAACACCGTAATTCAAAGGGATCAGTTCTTCTTTGTTCTTCCTTATTCATTGTCCAGCTTTCGCATGCATATGAGGTGATTGAAAATACCATGTCTTGGGTCAGGTGCACCTTAGTGCTTAAAGTGACATCTTTGCTTTTTAACACTTTAAAGAGTTCTTTTGCAATGGTTTTGCCCAACGCAATACATCGTTTGATTTCTTGACTACTGTTTCCATGGACATTGATTGAAGATTCAAGTAAAATGAAATAACACACTAACACAATTATGGATAGATAATTTGAAGGTTAAGTCTGGATATGGGGGAAGGAGGGAGACTAGAGTAGTCTGGGCACACATTTGGGGTATCCCCAGATTCGAAACAAGCCACATGACACTCTAATGACCATACATAAAAGCTACAGCTCTGTAATTGAGTGACAGCGCAAGCATGTCACTTGAGCAGACCTCTCACCAGATGGGGAAAACGTAGGTCCCCTTAACATAATGTTTTTCCATTTAGTTCTGTCTTTTTTTCATTTTGCTCATCAGCATTTTGTAGATTTCGGAATACATACTCTGCACATATTTTATTAGATTTATATTTAAGTATTATATATTTTGGTGGTATTGGAAGTGATGCTGTTCTTATATTTTTGTTTTCCAATCCTTCATTGCTAGTGTACAGAAATACAATTGATTTCTGTATGCAGAGCTTGTATCCTTTAACCTTGCTAAACTCACCTATTAATACTAGTAGCTTTTTGTACATTCTTTGGGATTTTCTACATACACAATCATCCGTGAATGGAGACAATTTTATTTCTTCTTTCCCAGTCTGGATGCCTTTTATTTCTTTTTCGTGACTAAGACTTCCCACACAATGGAGAGTAGGAGTGGTG